ATATGGGAGAGCATAAATGCCAACAATACATCAGATAAGGGGCCAACTTCCAAAACATATAGAGTACTCATACAACTCAACAAAAGGAAGACAAACAAGTCAATTAAAAAATGGGCAGAACCTGGCCGGTTTGGCTCAGCGGTTAGAGCATCGGCCTGCGGTCCGGAGAGACCCGGGTTCGGTTCCCGCTAAGGGCACGTACTTCGGTTGCAGTCTGTCCCCGGTCCTGGTTGGTCGTGCGGGTGGCAGCCACTCGATGTGTCCCTTTCACGTCGATGTTTCTCTCTCTCTCTCTTCCTCTCTCTCCCTCCCACTCTACCTGTACAAAAAATGGAAAAATGTCCTCGGGTGAGGATTAAAAAAAAAATGGGCAGAAGACCTAAATAGACACCTCTCCAAAAAGGACATACAAATGGCCAAGAGACATATGAAAAATGCTCAATGTCACTAATCATCAGAGAGATGCAAATTTAATAACTATGAAGTATCACCTCACACCTGTCAGAATGGTCGCCATGAACAAATCATCAAACAACAAGTGTTGGCAAGGATGTGGAGACAAGGGGACTCTAATACACTGCTGGTGAGAATGCAGACTGGTGCAGCCACTATGGAAAACAATATGTTGTTTCCTCAAAAAATTAAAAATTGATCTGCCATTTAACCCAGTGATTCCACTTCTAGGAATATATCCTAAGAAGCCTGAAACACCAATCAGAAAGAATATAGTACCCCTATGTTCACAGCAGCACTATTTACAATTGCTAACATCTGGAACCAGTCCAAGTGCCCCTCAGTAGACGAATGGATAAAAAAGCTGTGGTACATGTACATAATAGAGTACTATGCAGCTGTAAGAAAGAAAGAACTCTTACCCTTTGAGATGACATGGAGGGACCTGGAGAGTATTATGCTAAGCAAAATAAGCCAGTCAGAGAAAGACAAGTATCACATGATCTCACTTATTTGTGGAATCTAATGAACAAAATAAGCTGATGAACAAAATAGTTCCAGAGACATGGAAGCAGGGAACAGACTGACAAACCTCAGAGGGAGAGGGGGACAGAGGGGTAGGAAAAGATAAACCAAAGAACTGATATGCGTATATGCATAACCAATGGACATAGACAACAGTACAGTGAAGGCGGGGGGGGGGGGGGCGGGAGTGGGGAGGAGGGTGTCAATGGGGGCAAAAAGGAGGGACATCTGTAATACTTCCAACAATAAAGATAAATTGAAAAAGGGGAAGAAAAAAAAAAAAAGGAACGTATACAACTCAACACCGGGAAGACAAACAATCCAATTAAAAATGAGCAAAGGACCTGAATAGACACTTCTCCAAAGAGGACATACAGATGGCCAATAGACATGAAAATATGCTCAAGGTCACTAATTATTAGAGAGATGCAAATAAAACCTACAATGAGGTATCACCTCACACCTATCAAAATGGCTACTATCATAAATCAACAAGTGTTGGCGAGGGTGTGGAGTAAAGGGGACTCTAGTACACTGCTGGTGGGAATGCAGACTGGTGCAGCCACTATGGAAAACAATATTATGTTACCTCAAAAAATTAAAAAATGGAACTTCCATGTGACCCCGTGATCCCACTTCTAGGGATATACCCTAAGAAGCCTGAAACACCAATCAGAAAGAATATATGTACCTCTATGTTCATAGCAGCACTATTTACAATTGCTAAGATCTGGAAACAGCCCAAGTGTCCATCAGCAGATGAATGGATAAAAAAGTTGTGATGGCCCTGGCCGGTTTGGCTCAGCGGTTAGAGCGTCGGCCTGCGGTCCTGGGAGACCCGGGTTCGGTTCCTGCTAAGGGCACGTACCTCGGTTGCAGTTTGTCCCCGGCCCTGGTCGGTTGTGCGGGTGGCAGCCACTCGATGTGTTCCTTTCACATTGATGTTTCTCTTTCTCGCTCTCTGTTCCTCTCTCTCCCTCCCACTCTACCTGAACAAAAAATGGAAAAATGTCCTCCAGTGAGGATAAAAAAAAAAAAAAAAAAAAGTTGTGATAGCCCTGGCAGTTTGCTCAATGGGTAGAGCATTGGCCAAGGATCAAAGTGGTAGGTTCAATCCCCGGCCCAGTCCTGGTTGTGTGGTTCTCTTCCTCTCCCTCCCTTCCACTCTATCTAAGAATTAAGGGGAAAATATCCTCAGGTGAGGATTAAACAAGTGTGTGTGTGGGGGTGGGGGGGGGGGGGGGCTGTGGTCCATTTACATAATGGAATACTAGCAGCTGAAAAAAGAAGGAAATCTTACTGTTGCAACAGCATGGAGGAACCTAGAGAGTATTATGCTAAGCAAAATAAGCCAGAGAAAGACATCATATGAACTTACTGACATGTGGAGACTAATGAACAAAAGAAATGCACAAACAAAAGGGTACAGGAAGCATGAATACATGGAACAGACTGGAAGGTGCCCAAGGGGAGGGGTGGAGGGACTGGACAAAGAAGGGGAAGGAAATATATAAAGAACATATATGCAAACCCCATGGACACAAACAACAATCTGGTTAAGACTAAGGAAGGGGGAGGGTGGATGTGAGCAAAGGTGAGGTGGGGAGGGGGACTCCTGCAATAATGTCAACATTAAAACATTTTTTACTCAAAAAAACAAAAATCCATTGTGGAAGAGGGGGTGAGGCAACCACCAATGGAATAAGAACCCTGGAGGAAGAAGTGCAGGGACCCAAACTACAGGCAGAGGTGTTAACCCTGAAAAGGCCATGTCTTCCTTTGAGAGGCATAAAAGAGAAATAAAGGTTCCTTCTAGCAAGGCATCCACATAAAAGTAGCATCTGGCCAAGGTTCCTCCCATCCCTGGAGCATCAGTACGGACCTTTATACTTAGCAGAATCCCATGTCCACTGTCCTGCCTAGACTAGAGCATTCAAAGCCATTTCCAAATGAGTCAGGTAGGACAATGGCAGTCATACTTCAGCTAGGACCTGATGTTTTGTAGGTTAAGAAAATAATCTGAGCTAATTCTACAAGCAATGGATTTAGCGGCATGAAAAGAAGTTCACGCAGGTTACAGCCAACCTCAAATTGGAACAACACAAATGAGGATTGGGGGATTCCAGTGGTTCCCCCAGGCCTTTGCCTTTTGCAGAAAGCCGTAGCTAAAGTTTTATTTCTACAGCAGTATTTCATAAAGGATCTAAAAATCTTTGTAAAATAATAAAATGCTAAAAAAAATAGTCCTCATCCTTTCTACCCTTGGCTAAAAGGCCAGCTGCCACTGGAAGGCAGTGAGATACCCTAAATAACGCTTAGCTCCGAGACACAGACCTTCTGGGTTGGAAAATCCTGTCTCTAGCCGCTCTGGCCATGCAATGTCAAATATTTGAGTTAACCTCTCTGAGCACGCTCTGAAAGCTGAGCAACAAAGCGCCAAACCCTGCCTCTCAGCTGACCACTACATGTGGAACCAGAAATCTGGACGGCGTAAGTCAGTTCTTTCCCACTGCAGTCTCTGCCAAATGTTTGCTGGGAAAAAAGCCACAATCGGGTTTGCCTATGCCTAACAGCTCTTCCTTTCCAGCAAGCTTTCCGGAACCCGAGGGAGAGGCAGAAATCTTCCCCTGCCCAAGTGGCTGAGCTGGACCTGCAGAGTGACTTCTGAACGATCTGTCCACTCCTGTGCTGTGCCCTAGACCTGGGTCTAGCTCATCCCCACGTCCTATGGTCCTTCTACAGGACCCCAGAGGATGAAAGATGCCACTAAGTATGAACACTTTGCAAATAAACACAGTATTATCACGGCTCTTAAGCAGTGGTCAGCGTCGGAATCCCCTGCAGCTGCTTTAACCAGTCTCCCCCGGGGGAGCACCCCTAGTCCACTGGGATCCCAGCAAGTGCAAGGTGAGAAGTTCCACAGAGAGCACTGATGGTCGGACCCACACAAACGGCGGCTCTACAATTTCTTCGGCTTTCACCTGGCTTTCTGTGTCCAGAGCTCCTGACACGTAACTCTGAAGGGCAACCAGTGTCATGTGCCACTATTAGTGTTATTTACGACACTGATAACCTTGTTCCTCCAGGACTTTCTCTGCTATGCCCTCAGCCTCTGATGGCTGCAGATAACCACCTTGGCTCTCAATGCATAAGGAACCGACCCCTGGGCTAAACATTCAGGAAACTGACCACAGCCACCAAACCGGAGAGAAATGTCCTTACAGCCCTGGAGAACCCTGATCCAGGCTGAATGCTCCCCCTGGAAGAAAGGAGTTAAGGCACGTACCCTCTCCCTGAACCAAAGGTGGGGCACAAACCGGAAGCGGGCAGGACAGGGTGCAGTCTCTCAGCAAGTCCACGCAGGGAGGGGTGCGGACCCAGGTCACGCTCACCCCTTCGGACAGCGCCCTTCACCCTGCCCAGCACGGCGCACTGACCCGAGATTCCGACGAACGCCCAAAGCGCACTTTCCGCCAAGACGACGAAAGGTAAAGGTGTCATCCTGACTCATGCACTCGGGTGGCTAGTGTCACCTTTCGGACACCCTGCGGGGAAAGGGCCCTAAAGTCGGGTATCGCAAGTTTTAAAAATCCTCGCGCGCCCGTGGCCTCCGGGTTCACAGGGGCGCCTGCCCCTCCGTCCGTGCAGTCTCAGGTCCCGAGCACCCCCTTCCTCCCGGGCCCCCAGCCGCCCCAATCGCCAGCCCGGCCGCGCGGCGCGTCCCCGGCTCACCCGAGGCCGGAGGCCGGCCCGCCCGCAGCTTCCCCTTCCGCCGCCCACGGCGACCGCACGACGCCCTGGGCGCTGCCGGCCTGTCCCGGCGGTCGTGCCGGCGCACTGTCGTCCACAGCGGAGCCCCGCCGCGGGCCCCGAGTGGGGCCTGCACCGTCACGGCCGCGCGCTGGACGCGACGCTCGGGGAAGCACCGGCCGGGGTTGCTCGGGCCGTCGCACACCTCCCAGCGCCTTCCTCCCGCGGCCTGCCCTTCGCGAGCCCGAGCCCCGCCGCCCGCGCCCACTCACCGGACGGACGGACGGACGGACGGACAGCCAGGCGGAGTCTCGGGCGCGGAGTCTTCGCGCAGCCGGCCGGGCCGTACCACCGCCCAAGCCGGAGGGGCGCACGGCCGTTCGAGCCGCCTCCGCCCTCCACCCCCCGGCGAGCCAAGCCGCTCCAGGTTCCGAGGCCCGAGAGGTCCCCGCAGCCCAGGGACTCCCAGTGGGCGGGAACCCCGAGGATCTACCCGACACCGCCCGTTTCGCCGCCGCGCTCGGGCCCGACCCCCCACCGAGAAGTGCCACATGGTTCGACCCGTCGGCGGGGCTGCGGAGGAAACCATTCCACCGGGGGGGCGCTGGGAGAAACCAAACGTTTCAGAGACCTGGGGGCGAGCTAGGCGCCAGGGCTCCGTCCACAGCGAAGGCCCCGGACACAGACCCGCGACGCTGTGAGCCGCACTGGGCTTCCTTTCAGTAGGAGTGCTTGAAAACCGTTGGGTTTTATGGAATTCCCAGGAGCCCCTGTGGGGTGGGACGTGCGGACAGACGGCGGGGAGGTGGGCGGCCGCTCCACGCCTGCGGGCGGGCGGCAGTGCGCATGTGCCGACGCACCTGCACGGCCCCCACCTGGTGCCCCAGGGGTTCGGCCGAGCTCCTGACAGCGAGACCTCGGTTCTGAGTACGTAATGACGTCGTTCAGGCAGGGCGCCCGCTGACGTCCGCTTAGAAATGATGCCGGTCCCGGAACCTCCGCCTGCGGGCAGAGGAGCGCCCTCCAGCCCGGGAAAGGAGGTGCGGCCTGTGGGCGGGGCCTCTGGCCTGGGCTCCCGAGTCCGGGCGTGCGCGGCCCCTCAGCTCCCCCAAACGTCCCCCATCCTAAAGCAGACGGGAGTCGAGGCCCTGCCAGTTTGGCTCCGCGGCTAGAGCGTGGCCTGCAGACCAGCGAGTCGCAGGCTCCGTTTCAGTCGAGGGCACTTAGGCAGTCGTGGTGGGGGCAGCCCGTTGATGTGTGCCTCACATCGTGTTTCTCTCCCCTTCCCACCCTATCTGAAGGTAAATGGAAAACATCCTCCCGTGAGGCTGAAAAAAAAAAAGCCCACCTGGTGTGAGCCTTGACCCACGCACCAAGACGTGCCGGTTGATTCCTGGTCAGGGCACGGCCCAGGTTGTGGGCGGGATCCCAGTGCGGGGTATGAGAACGGGATGGAGCTGGGTAACCGGGACGTGCAGGGAAATACCAGCTGGGCTGCCTCCAAGTGGAGCGCAGCAGCTGGTTCGCACAGACTAAGGGTTTTTAAACTTAGGGCTGGGGTGGGGGGCTGCCCCGCCGAGGAGTCGGTCGGCCTTGATGGTCGGGGCTGGGGTCTTTCCAAGAGTTGTTCTCCTCCAGCGGCAGTTTAGGTTTGGGTGGGGGTTCAGGATACTGCTCCGCCTGGCCGGAGCGATAAGCTTTGGTTTCCTGGAACAAGGGGCTAGGGGCGAGGTTAAACAATAAGAGGCTGGCGGTAGTAATATGGAAGTTTAACAGGGGTCATGCAGGAGGCAGCCAATCGATGTTTCTATCTCTCCTTCTCCCTTCCTCTATCTAAAATCAGTAAAGAAATGGGTGTCTAGTTTTTTTAAACCGCGTGGTCACTAACTCATTGAATTTCCATGTTCTGCTGAACAGAGGGCATGAGAAAAGAATGAAATTGCAATTTTTTTTTTTTTTTTGCCATCTTTTACTGGTATAAAAGAAGCAGCAGTATGGGGTGGAATTATGAGGTTACAGGTTTAATTCTTTTTACCAGTCCAAGGCCTCTTGATATTGGACAGCACAAACATCATATGGGTTGGCGAAAGTAAGTTAATGAGAAAAAAAGAAAGCATAAACTCTGTTTCTGTTACTTACAGCTGTAAACCTTCTTTTGCCCACCCCTGTGTATTTTCTAGTGAGTCACAAAATACTTTCTGAAACAACCAGCAACAAAAACCTCCTAAGGGTATACAGATGTGGAATTCTACTTTTACTTTTGTAATCAACAATTCAGATACTTGAATTTTATTGAGTTCCATAATGCTTTGAAAGCCTTAGTGGACAGGTATAGGCAAATTAAAACAACTATGAGATATCATCCCAGAATGGCTGCCATCAACAAATCTTCAAACAACAGGTGCTGGCGAGGGTGTGGAGAAAAGGGGACTCTAGTTCACTGCTGGTGGGAATGTAAACTGGTGCAGCCACTATAGAAAACACTATGGTATTTCCTCAAAAAATTAAAAGTTGTTCTGCCATTTGACCCACTGATCCCACTTCTAGGAATATATCCTAAGCAGCCTGAAACACCATCAGAAAGAATATATGTACCCCCATGTTCATAGCATCACTATTTACAATAGCTAAGATCTGGAAACAGCCCAAGTGTCCATCAGTAGACGAATGGATAAAAAACGCTGTGGTACATGTACACAGTGGAGTACTATGCAGCTGTAAGAAAGATTTCTTATCCTTTGAGATGACATAGAGGGACCTAGAGAGTATTATGCTGAGTGAAATAAGCCAATCAGAGAAAGACAAATATCACATGATCTCACTTATTTGTGGAATATAATAAAATAAGCTGTGGACCAAAAGAGATCCAGAATCATGGAAGTAGGGAACAAACTGACAAACCTCAGAGGGATGGGAGTGAGGGGAGGGAAGAGATAAACCAAAGAATGTATATGCATATATGCACAACCAATCAACAGGGACACTAGGCTAGGGAAGGCAGGAGGGGGTGGTCGTGGAGGGGGGGTCATTGGGGAAAAAAGGGGGACATCTGTAATACTTTCAACAATAAAAAAAAGTTAAAAATTACCATTTGATCCAGCAAAAACAAAACAATAAAATAAATAATAAAAGATCCATTTGAGTATTTTTTTTTAAAAAGATGCAAAAAGTCTTTGCAGCCTCCTGTATGGATACCTTTCCAATTTCTAAAAGAAAACATTTCAACATTTGTCAAAGTGAACAGGATTCACCATGAAAACGGCCACAGCAGCAATTCTGAGTACAAATATGATTGAGTTCCACACTAGTAAGCAAAGAACTTATAAAACTACAATAATTTTCATTAGTTACCATGATTGTCTTTTTTTTCCTCAAAAAATCTATTGCATCAATTAAGATAGGAAGGTGCTTTTTTTCTTTTCACTTTTTTTTGGGTGGAAACCTTGGTTTTTTTGTATGGTTTTTTTCCCATTTTGCCTTAGTGTTAGGTGGTGGTTTTGTTTGGTTGAGAGAAACATCGGTGTGTTGTTCCACCCATCCATGCATTCATTGGTTGGCTCTGGCGTGTGCCCTGACCAGAGATTGAATCCCAAACCTTGGCTCATTGGGACAACGGTCCAACCAACTGAGCTACCAGATCAGGACCAGTGGTAGGTGATCTTGAAACTAACATTGGTTATTCAGGTTTCAAACCTAAGGGAAAAAAATTTTTTTTCTGTCTTGTAACTTTAATTTGAGGCATTAACTTCCTCAGTTTTTTGAGTGAGGACACCACATTACTGCAATTACTCTTACTTCCATGGTGATAAATTAATGAAGGTCCCAAGTAGAGGAAGACTTATTCAACCACTGTCATTTTCAATAAAATTTCAATGTGCATTGGACTACGTTTATGCTTTCAATATCTTTCCCAGCACTGCTGGCTTCAGCTACCTACCTCTTTTGGAGGTGTTTTCTCAGAAACTGGCCAGAGAAACCAAAACAGAAAAAGCAAAACAAGATTGGAAATCCAACGATTGCTAGTTTGATGAGAGAGAAAGCTCTGATTTGGACCAAGTAACAACCCAGGCCTCCCAGAATCTAAATTTCCACTCCTGACTGCTGTACATGCACTTGAGTCTACTGACAAAACAGTAGCATCATGAAGCAGTACTGCTGGGGAGAGACCACAAGGCTACGGGAAATGCCCACCAGTCCCAAGCACACCCAGGGAGCCTGTTCACACTGCCTCTGAGCATTTTAAGTTGCCTAATGGACCATTTGAGGTTTGGCAATAGGTGTGTATGTGTGTTTGGTTTTGTTTGTTTGTTTGTTTTTAATATAATGCTGTTTTTATTTTATTTAAAAAATTTTTTGTTTTTATTTTTTTAATGCCTCATTTAGAGACTTATGAAAAGAAAGTTCCAATGTCCTGTTTTGCATATTGGTAGTGAAGGGTCTTTTTTTTTTTTTAATTGGGGTGACACAGATTTATAGGATCATATATTTCAGGTGTGGATTTCTATGTTACAAGATGTGTATATTGCACTGTGTGTCTACCACACAAAATCAAATAATCTTCTGTCACCATGTATTAGGTCCCCCTCACCTTCCCACTCTTCCCTCTGTCCACCACCACGCTGCTGTTTGTGTCCACGAGGTTCAGTTTTATATCCCAATGTGAGTGAAGTCACACAGTTCTAAGCTTTTCCTGACTAGCTTATTTCGCTTAGCATAATATTCTCAAGGCCCTCCCCCCCATGTCGCAAATGGCAGTATTTCATCTTTTATGGAGGCTGAGTAGTGTTCCACTGTGTATACATACCACATCTTCTCAATCCAATCCTCTATGCAGGACATTTTGATTGTCTCCGTATCTTGCCACAATGAACATAGTGGTGCATACATCTTTGTGTATACATGTTTTCAAGTTTTTCAGGTATATACCCAGGAGATGGATTACTGGGTCCTATGGTAGCTCTATTCTTACTATTTTTGAGGAATCACCAGACTGTTTTCCACAGTGGCTGTACCAGTCTACATTCCCAGTGAATGAGGGTTCCCTTTCCTCCACAACCTCTCCAACACTTGTCATTACTTTCCTTGTTAATAACAGCCATTCTAACAGGTGTGAGGTGGTATCTCATTGTAGTTTTGATTTGCATTTCCCTAATTGCTAGTGAGGTCGAACGTCTTTTCATGTATCTGTTGGCTGTTTCAATGTCTTCTTGGGAGAGGTGTCTGTTCAGGTCCTCTGCTCATTTTTTAATTGGGTTGTTTGTTTGTTTGGTGTTGAGTTGTATGAGTACTTTATATATTTTG